CATCATCGAAAATTCCTCCGTCATCTTTCTAAAGTTATGGTCCCGACATTTTTCCTTCTAGGTCTGACATAAAGAAAAGAATTCTTCTTTTTTTGCTTACTTGGAAAATGTAGCTTTTAACATTTGTTATTTATTTTATCATTTTTGACATACTGTTATAAGTGGCTGAAAAAAGTATATTGTGATTACTGTTGTAAGTCTTAAAAAAATTTAGGCATCACAACTGTTAAATGCGTAAATTATCAGCTATTTAAAAAATAATAAAAATAAAATTAAAAAAATATTCAATCTAATAAAGCATGACAAACCTAATGAAATTTGACATATAACATGCATTATTGCACAATTTCAATGTATTTATAATGTTAAAATTCTTAGAATATAGGAATACATAAAATATTTCTAAAAAAGTACACTTTATTAATGCACCTTTTTAAAATTTAAAAAAATATGTTTGGTTTTATGTATTTAAAGCTATGAAAAATCAATAAAAAATTTTACTCTTCATAATTTTGTTGTTTTATGATTCTTGAAAAAATATTGTGTAAGCTATAGTGGAGGCCCCAGCATATAAAAGAGTTTTTAAAGGGTTTCCCTGGAAGAGTATCGCCCGCCAAACAATCTAAAACATAGAGGTAATGGGTTCAAATCGCGCCTTAACCCTGGATATGTCTTTGTGTTGTCCTTCTCTGAACTGTACAATATGTCTTTCAACTTGACAAAGGCTTATAAACCGTACTTATGTAATTGAGCACACAAGCTTGCATGCATGCGTAGGTAGGTAGGTACTTTTTTAAGACGCACTAGAGCTGCATAATGGGTTATTGGCGACGGTCTTTTAAACATCCCTAAGGATGTTCCGAGGACATGCCATCGCAATTTTGATCCTCTGCAGAGGGGATGACTCTCCTGCTTTGGTAGTACCTGCGCGCGAAGTCAAGCAATTTATGGCATATTAGTTTAACGAGCACTGATACCGCGCACCCTCGGTCCCTACGAAGACATATCGAAGTGGTCACCCAACCTCTTACTTGGATGATTGACTTCGGTATCTTACTGGGAACCGAGTCTCTACGATCAGTTCACTGCGGGGAATGTATCAGTTGCAATATATTAAATTGAATGAGTTTTAAAGATGGAAACTTCTCTCTCAAAGCTCAGATGATAAAAACGAGTTGCACAGATCCTCTTCATCTTTCTCAACTAAAATAGTAGTCCTATCCTCCTTAGTCCCGCAGTGGACTGATCGTTAAGACATGGTTCCCCGCAGATCACCGATGTCAAGCATCACTGGCTGCTGTCAGTGTGCAGGTGGGTGACCACTTGGATCAGTCTGCGTAGGGATCGAGGGTGTGCGGCATTGGTCCTTGTTAAACTGTGCTACCGTAAAGTGCTCGACTTCGCGTGCAGGTCGTTGGGCTACCGAATCGGGGGTGCCATCCCCTCTGCTGAGGATCAAAATTGTGATGGAATGTCTTCGGATCATCCTCAGGGAAGTTTCCCAGACCGTCGCCAATAGCCCATTGTGCAGCAATAGTGCGACGTAAATGAACTACAACAACAACCTATCCTCCTTAGTAAATGTTCCATCAATCTGTTTCTCGCTCTGATGATTCCGATTCCTTATATGTGTTGTTATGCTCCGTAAGGTAAAATGGTAGATAATTCTAGACTTTAATTGGTTTCTTTAAAAATATATATATATTTTTTTTACAAATATTTACCATAGCTGAGTATTTGAGGGATTATAATTAGTTATCAAGTAAGCGGTTCCTCAATTCGCAAATTTATAAAATTAAAGAGAAAAGTAATTTTTAACGAACATCCAATCTAAGTTTAAATATTAATATCTTCGTTTCGAAGCTTTAATGTTTAAATCTCCATCTTCATGTTTTAATATTTAAATCACCGTTTTTAATTTTTTTTTTCAATTTTGTAACTCTAGACTCTTAAACTCTTATCTCCTAAATAAATAATCGTGAGCTAAATAATTTAATCTAAGGAAAGATTTGAGGTAATTATTTTCATCTTTTACAATTTAAAGATTAGAATATCTTGTAGAAAAAGCAAGTTTATTTCATTAAAAACAATTTTCGAAATTATTTTCTTTTTCATTTGGGGGAAAATAATTTTAGTTTACAATTTTTATTCAATATTCGAAATTAACTCTACAAAGGAAATAATCTTACTTTGCACTAAAAGTATGTTGTAAATCGTGCGTTAAGCGTAATTATAAGGAGGGTTTGAGCATGTTTTAATATTACTATAAAATGTAATTTCAAGGTGTACTATATTCGTTTTGCAATTCGACTTGTTTCGATTTGCGAACTAAATTAAGGAATCCTTCGATGCATACTACCCTCTAATAATGATAGAGATACTTTTAGTTTTTTTTAATCTTTTTTTAAACTTTTTTTAGAAATATTTAGAATATTATTTTATAACTTTAGAGTTGTTTAGGTCATATGATTTCTCGCACTTCTAAATAGATTTCAAAGGTTTGAGTTACAGACAAATTACGAATGAAAGCAAGTGTTTTTGACCACACCATGACAAAAAAAAAAAAGAAAAAAAATAGAAATGCGCCTCGTAACTTGTATCAATTGTTTTGGTTATCATATGCACTAACTGCGCAAAATTTCGTAAACCTAGTACAAATATTCTTCATAAATAGATATGGACATTTTTATTTAAAAAAAAATGCGTTTCTTGCTAATAACTGTTGAAATCCTTAATAATTTAAACAGACTTTTTGGAGAAACATTTAAGTGATAAAAAAAAAAATATAATTTTAAATTTTAAAAAAAATGTGCAAGATATGAGCATTTAAAGTGATCTTTTCATACTGCGCATGCGCGATTAACATTTAAAAATATCTTTTCATAATTTTGTTTTGAATCTCATTTGGCAAAACGATGAATAAAGTTGAAATTAAGTATAGTAAAAAATTAAAAATTTCGGGTGTTCAAAAATATTTGTTATCGTTCATATTCATTAATGGTCCCTCAAACCTATGAAAGTTTTAAACTTTCTGGATGAGTATGAGAAACCTTAACACCTAACGTTACCCTATTTTATTAAAATAAAAGTATTTTGTTTTTACCAATTTCTTGAGTAATATAAAAAAATCCCAAAAACTAAAAGTGTCTGTCAAAGTAGTCTGATTACACTGATACGCGAAAATTAGAAATGTTAACGTCTCGGGCATAGAATAGGTCGTTGAATAGGAAATAGTGCACGTTTCAACATCAGAAAGTAATGTCTAGCTTTGATTTATGGTAATCTGTGTTCTGTTTGAGTGGTAGTAGTAGTATTACCTAATTTATTCGAACTAGAGCTGCGCAATGTGGTTTTGGCGTCCGTCAGGGAAACATACTCTAGAGTGTTTTGAAGACATGATCAAATCACAATATTGATCCTTTGCAAAGGGGATGGCTCCATCGCTATGAAAGCTCGACGATTTCAGCTCAAAATCGATCACTATACTGTAGAACAGTTTAGGGAGGATCGATATCTCGCTCCTTTACAGGCTGATCTAAGTGGTCACCCATCTGCTCACTGACCGCAGGCAGTGGTACTTGACTTTAATGATCTACTAGGAATCATGTCTTGCGATCAGCCTATGATGGGACTGTTTCTTATTTGAATAGCGTTTGATAAATATAATATTTAGTTATCATAAATTATGTGGGTAATATGAATTAATGTTTAGCTAGGGCTTTGGTGAAAGTTTAAAGCTATTAAGCTTAGATAGGATTAACAAGGTGACTTTTTAAAATCTTTAGGCTCAGCTAGGACTCACGTGGTAGTTTTAAAAAATTGAAGCTCATCCAGACCTAAAGCAGAAACATAAGAAAACTAAAAAGCAAAGATAGGCACTCAGAGATGTGAGAAAAAAAATTAGCATAGCTGTGCATAATGTGCAGCTGGAGATAATAGTTAGGCTTAACTAGGCCTAAAAAGTTTGTTGTTTAAAACTATTAGGCTAAGCCAGGTCTAACACTGTTATTGCTTAAAACTATTAGGCTGCTGGACATAAATTGATGGTCATTTAAATTTATTAGGCCCAGTTGGGCCTAACATTTTAATTGCTTTAAATATTTGGGCTTAGCCAGAACTAATGTAAGAGGTTAAGGAACAATAAGTCGTAGCTAGGTAGGCTTAACAACAAGACAGAAGCTCAGCTAACGTAAAGCTGTGAAAAATAAATAGGCTTATATAGGCCTAACTCAGAAATGTGAGAAAACAAATAAGTATAGCTAAGCCTATTTCAGGGGCATGAGAAAACAAACAGGCTTAGCTTGGTCTAGCGCAGAGATGTGAGAAAACAAATAGGCTTAACTAAGCCTAACGCAAAGATGTGAGAAAGCGATTAGGCTCAGCTAGCCTAATATGGTGACTTAACAACCACCTAATATGGTGGTTATTCAGATCCCGTAGGCTTGGCCAAGCCTAAAATGGCAGTCATTTAAAACTATTAGGCTGATCTAAGCCTAAAATGGTGATAGTTTAAAATTATTAGGCTTAGCTAGGCCATATTTAGAGGCATGAGTTCTAGGAAGTTTTGCAATAGCCTAGGGTACTGTTCTAGAGTGACGTAACTAACGCAACAAAAGTACTACTACATGAATTTGATTTAAAAAATGTGGAAATATCAGAAACCACCATTAGATGGCATCATTAATTGTCAATTGTAACCGTAACCTTCTTAAAAGATGCTTGTTAAAAGACATCTGCATTTTTTTGTGTAGTAGTAGTATCATCCATTGTCCTGCATTCATCATGTTGATATAATATATTCTTTTTTGCTACTTACCCCTTTGACTAGTTTTTTTTCATTTGAATAGTTTTCCTGTATTTTAGGAAAACGAGATGTATTCACTAATAATAGTTTAACCAATCTTCAGTGTAATATTAAACCCGATAGAAATAATTGAAGTCAAAAAACCAAATAAATAAACCATGAGATGTGAGTCGTAAAAAAAAGAAAAACTCGAACATAGTTTCCCTGAGAAACTTTATTAAAAACAAATATCCATCATGGACAGAAGAACGTATACAAAAATAAGTTGTGGGACTAGGGACATTCTGCCCATATTCACAAAAAAGTGCAATTTTTTTTCTTTTTCTGTTTGGGTAATTGTCCTTGTATCCACAACATCCCATATAATAAGTATCTTATTTACAATAAAATATACACAATCAGTCTTTTCGTTCTCAGTTCATGATAGTTTTATTTATAGGAATGAAGTCTTTTTTTTATTTATTTATGCAACACAGTTGATATATTCAATGAGTATCTATTATGTCACTAACTCCGGGAGAGAATTCAGCTTCGGCACGTTGCCACCATGTCGATTTGATTGTTCAAATAAAGGGTCGTCTTAAAATGAGTTTATTGAAGAATCTCTGTGTCCCCGCCAACCTCCTACTTGGCATGCTTCGAACCTGACTGCGCATGATCACAAATGAGTCAAAAAAATGGCATATTTCTCAGAAATGGCAGCTCATATTGGACTAGACGTCGGTCTGAATGTTCTTGACATAGGGCCTATGTAGTGTTGCGCATTCATCCATAGGTAAGACTTTAACTCGTTTCTGTGGTGTGATATGTGAAAAGTCTCTTAAAGCAGCTTCAGATTCCATGTCCATCTAAAAGAAGAAAAAAACAGAATTATATTGATCATTTATGCTCCTAATTGTGTCGTTGTGACACAGTGGTTAAAATACCAAGCTGCAATTGTATAGAACCGGTGTTCTAACCTCAGTAAGACGTTGACCTTCAGATCGATAAGTAACAGATTGTCTGGGAAGTAAGTTCTGGCAGTGCGTAATGCTGACCTCATCATACCATTGGTCTCTAAATTGTGAAGCATTAACATCATTTATTCATTTATTTATGATACTAAACTCCGTGATTCCCCTGGTCGAAAACTGACTATTGAAATTCCTTGCTAACGTGATTCTTTTCGTTCCGAAAATGAATGTTCAACAAAATAAACGTTCAATACAACATCAGCGGAACGAGGATAGTTCCATGAAGGCAATATTGGTTGCATAAGCAAACTAATTTGTCAAACCTTAGTACACATTTTGACTGAATCAGTTTGATTGGGGTTCTACTAACATAGTATTTCATTCCTTCTCAGGATCAAAGGAGATAATATTGCTTGTCTTGAAACAGGTATATTTATTAAAAAAATGTTAATTGAGCTCATTTTTAACTGTGTTTAACAATTTTAAACTGTCCAAAGATGCAGATCTTTGGATAGTCTGAAATTGTTAAACGCTGTTAATACTGTTTGACACAAAAATGTTTCAAAAGTTCAGTTCCAGTTTTTTTTTAATATAGAAGCTTATATGATTTTCATCAGAACAAACTGCTTCTTCTGCGTAATTTTTAGTTTACAAAACTAAGTTACGTGAATTACAATGTACGGAAAACAATCTGAGATCAGTTATGATGTACGACAGTCAAATCACAAGAGATTTGATAACAGTTATTTCGTAATTTCTATACATTTTGAAAATTGAAAAAGTCCGAATTTTTCATCTGTAACACGGTGGTTATGTGATGTAGTGCCAGTGAAGTGTGCTCAAAATGATTAAAACTGTTGCCGTACATAATGTTGAAAATGTTCATTTAGTATAAGCTCCCTTATTTCCTCTTTCCACTTAAATAAATATTTGAATAGAAATGTAATAAAAATGTAATAAAACTGTATATATATATATATATATATATATATATAGTTAAATTTTTTTCATTGAAATGACAATTCTTACAAAATATGCATTGGGAAATCGCTTATTCCGCTCCAAAGTTCATTTAGTGCAATTTAAGTAGACCGATGTTGAGCAAATGGGACCTACATTTTTCGATTTACGAATAGAAAATTGCTAATTATTATTTTTTATTTAATTTGTAATATTATAACTTTCTTTTACGGAATCTTTTAAGTATTGAAAATACGAGTTTTTATTACATAAAGAATTATTTCATGCGAAAAATAGGAGCTGGACTGTTTGAAAAGTCTGCAGTCTTGCGGATGTTTACATTTTGACAAGAGATTTGGGGTTACTTGCACTGGCCATGTGTTTAAGGATTCACCCATTCCTTAATATAGTAGAATTTGTAAATTACCTGTCTAGGCCTACTAATTGTTGTTATAGTTTGGCCTAATCCATTCACTCCCATAAGCTGCAAACTAGCTGCATCTGTTAAAAACTGTTTATTTAGACCTTCTTCTGCACTTTGCTCCGAAGGAATGCTCACATCTGCACAAAATTTATGCATACGTTATTGAAAACATAGCTCAATGATAATAAAGTAATATTAATAATCAAAAATATTATACTTATCAGCCTTAGAACAAGGGAGGCACTAAATGTTTATAAGATTTGAAATACCAGAGATTAAAATTCATTTAAACACATTTTCTCTGATTGAAATTCTGCAATTATTTTTTTTCTTTTGCAAGTTTATTGCAAATTAACGTAATTTTTCGAAATATTGGCGCAAATTCAGTAACTTCATTTTTAAAATCTGTGGTTGCTTCGTTGCTCTTGCGATTTCTTTTCTTTTAAAAATAAACTTAGTTAACTAAAATTAAACGAAGTTAATTTAATTTTTTTTATAACCGAAGTTGAGAAGCTCTACCATTTTTGGGTTCAGGAATATCAATAATCAATTCCGTCGCCTTGTAATTTTGAACACAAGGGTGCCCCTGGATCAAGTATTGGGATAAACCAGCTTTCGTACTGGACTTTTGACCGAACAAACCTGCACATTTGTTACATTGAGAAGAAAACCTCCCATGGTTAGCCAGGCGGCATGAGGAATTTCAAACTCATGTTCCGCCTGCCATTGAAGAAATTTTTACGTCGGGAACATAGCTTGTATCGAGCAGCCATCGAGGGGATTCATGTCTGAGTCTCCTCATTGGGGAGTGATTGCTCTATGAGCTACAGCAACTTTTTTAAAGTTAATTTTAATTATTAACCTTAATCGAATTACAATATGATTTTAATATTTACACTCATAAAATATTCAAGCTTTATAATAGGGTTGAAAAACGCATGATCGTTAATGGTAGAGCGAAGTTCGCGGGTAGTTAAACGTATAAAAATATTTTTAGAAACTCAAATAAATTATTTCATAAATAATTAAGAAAATTACTTTTAAGTCAAACCAAAAAATTAAAAAAAATCCTTATTACCAATTTAACATTTAATACGCATCGTTATTAATAAAAAAGGATGGGAGTAAATGCTTAAAAGTAATTGATTCGGAACTTTTGTAGTAAAAATAATTCCAGTGAAAGGACGGTGCATTTTTAAAACTTCCCCTTAAAAAGATTAGTGAACGCTAATCTATTAACTTTAAATTTTTATATATGAACAAAAAGCGAAATTCATTATTTCTTACACATAAAATATAAGGCAAGCGTTCAGTACAAAGAAGCTAGAGGTATTTAAAAGGAATTAAGGAATCAGAATATGAAGAAAAAAACCGATGTTTTTAAGAAGGGAGCATTAATTAATTTCAAGAAAGGATATACCTTATATCCACAAAAATACTCCAAATTCAATTATTTAGCCTTTTTTATAAAAAAAATAAAATAATAACTTTTTTTTCGTGTTTGCTCAGCATTTTGTTTGTTATTGTCAAGTAACGCTATTTTGAAACTCATATAACTCCAAAACCGTTGGGCTTAGGGTTCTAAAATTTGGAGCCCCCCCCACAACCGAAGAATCTGTTAAAAATTTAAAATTTAATTATTTCGTAGGAGAGAAAAGTTTGAAAAATTATTTTTTAACATTAGCCATTGTTATAAATAAAATGATTCTGTTTAAGATTTTATCACACGCTTTTGATGTTTAATTTTTTTTTCACAAGTTCAGTCATCAACGTAAATGGCACGTGGATCGGTATTACGTCACCGCATCAGCGCTTCTAAAATTATAAGAAATCACGTGTTTATTTTAACTAAAGATATGCCTTTAGAAAGGTGTAATTTTTGCAAACACAAAATGAATTAGAAGAAAAAGTATGAAGTAAAACCGCTTTCACTATGGGTTTGCAAAAAAAAGTATTAAATAAAATTTTGCGCGTAACTTTTAAAAATCGAGCTTAAGAAGTTTATCTTAAAATGTCTTATAAAATTTAAAGCACGTAGAAAATCGGTGGTTTTCGCACAATAATAACAACACAAAATAAACCACAGACTCTTTTTCTGCTTTCTTAAAATATTTTATAAGAAATTCTCGCAACGCATTTTGAGATAAGTTTTGAATAAAATGACTATAATTTCTGAAAACTTAGCCGTAACTTTACCAACTCGATTTTCGTAGGTTACACTTGTTTATTTCAGTTATTTATTATACATACCTATAGAAAAGATGTTTTTTAAAATAATTAAAGTTATTTTATCAGCAAGTCTATTAATTGAAATATGTACGAAATTAGTACCTGGAATGATATCTGGACCTTTTTCTTCACCTGGACTTTTACTTGCCTCATTAAAATCATCGTCTTTGGTCAAACCAGGCTGAAGTCTAAAAAAAATTTTTTTTTTTTTTTTTAAAAATAATCGAATAATTTGACGTAATACTTTTCATTACAAATGACTAGACTAAAATAAGCAACAAAAAAAAGCAAAAAAAACGAGTATTTTTCTCACATTTTTTGGAGATTTTTAAATTCTATAATTTAGAACCTTATACATTAAATTTTATTAAAAAAAACAAACTATAATATTTACAAGTAAAAATAAATATTAAATTGAAACGTTGCGTGTATTTGCTTTGTCAAAACAAACTTTCTAACAGATAAAATGAAATTATTTAATGTTTGGTTCCTTTTTCTTCTTTTCACTAATTTTCAACACAATATGGCAAAAAGTGTTTAAAATCATTTTCTTTTCTTTTATGGATTTGCATGCAATATTCTTTCATACTATTTTGTTAAGAATTGAACGCAAGAACATACTCAAAAGTTTCAACCTTTGCAATTCAGTTCAAATCTTTAAAACTCTCATTAAATCTTTTAAATTATATTAAATTTTTGAAATGAATATAATTTAAAAGATTTAATCAGAGATCAGATTCGTATATTGCATTTTGGAAATGAAGTACAATATGGTGAATTCAATCCAGCCCCAAACGAACACACGATTTTGAGGAGTTTAATACTTCCTTTGCACAAATTGATCTCAATGGTTAAAGTTTGCGAAGGCTTTATCTCACTTTTATATTAATTTGTGGTAACCCATGAGAGCAGTATTATTATTTTTGTATTAAGTATTATCGAAGCATAGTGTTTGACTTTTGCTCCCGTATTCGAAAAATATATATTAAGGTTTGCCGCTACAGAACATCCGGTATATTCCGGTATGTATAATATAGGAATGATTTTTAGTCTAATATTATAAAGAATAAACATATTGAAAAAATTATTTCATTCAAAAGATACTCACTTGTAAGCCTTCCTTGCCAGTATTTGACCTGAAAAATTAAAGCACTCTTATATTAGATATCAATGCTTAATTTCTTTTTCTTTTATGAAATTAAAAATACGTTAAAAGTTCTACTAAAATTTAAATATATTTTATACATTTATTACATGTTATATAGTTTAGAAACATTGATTTTAAAAAAATGAATGGTAAGGTCAGAGTAATGTATGAATAACATAAAGAAGTTTTAGTTTTAAAACATCTCATTCAAATTTGGAAGTAACCATCAGTTGAATTTTTCTTTCAAATTATCTTTGTATTTTTTTAAGACTTATATATTTTTATATTAAAAGTACATTAGTATTGCGCTTCAGAAGACTCAATATTAATTCTTATGATATCATTGTTAAAACTAGTCAAAAAGATTCATTTTGAAAAATCATTAACACTATCTATTGACTCACTCATAATTATTAAGATATCATTCTTAAAACTAGTTTGATAATTTTATTTTCAAACATAATTAACTCATTATTAACTGTTGTAACATGACTGATAAAACAATTTTCCGAAATTAATTTTAACAATTAAAAAACTCTTTCAACATTTAAGAACTTGTTTTTAGAAATTATAGTGATTCATTATCAATTCTTATGAAGCAATGTTAAAAGTAATTAAAAAAAAAATATTTTGAAAGATCATTACGGTTTTATTAACTGATTAATAATGATTATGAGATTTTTGTTACAACTAATTGGAAAATATTATTTTGAAAGATCATTGAACTAAATTAACTCATCAATAACAATTATTGTATGACTATTAAAACTAATTCAAAAACATTTTTTTAGAGAAATCATTAGTGCTCTACTTACTCAATATTAATTACCCTTTAACTGTTATAAATTAGCATGAAAATGTTTATTTTATACGTACTAGAGGTTTTTTTTTCAAAATTTTGATCTATTTTATTGTTTTACTGAAACATATCCTAAATAATGTCTTTTTTTCAGCCGCTAAAGCGATCTAACACTTTGAAATTTAAGAAATGTGAGTTTTCAGAATCGAGCTGTTAATTAAATACTATAATAAGAGTTAAAAATAAAAGTTCAGTCAACAAACCTTTGTGCCTTTCATGTCTTATTTTGCACCTCATAGCGATGACAACTATCATGGCAACGAAGACAAGACCTGCCACAATGGACATCAGCACAATCAACACTGGACTAAAACTGACTTGCCACACATTATCTAAATGCATAAAGATAATATACAGATAATGACTCAAATGTGAAATGTAATCATATTCAAATATAGATAAAAGGATCGTTATTCCATAGACTAAATTCGCCCTCTCTAATATTTCATAGAAGATCTTAGCAATATATCGTGAAATATGGAAAATATTTAGACATCACGATAACAATATTTCATTAAGTATCATGGTGCCGATAAATTATCAATACGTCGTGCATAAAATGCATAAAATAAATATCTAATATGATAATATCGAAAATTATCATTAAAAACAGTTATCGAATACAATGGTATTGTGATCAGTATCGAAAACTATAACTGTTGAATACATACGGTGTTGTTACAAGAATTATCAATAACGATGAGTATAAAACACTATTATTTCCTGTTTATTATTGACAACAATAAATAATATATAACGATAATTATCGAATAAAATAACACCATGATTATTTTCAGCAACGATAAATATAAAATACAATGATTAAGTGAGTTAATCGATAACGCAAATTATATAGCATAGATATCATTAGAGACAGCAAAAAATATCAAATACTATAATTTTGTAATAATCAGAGATAAAAATAATTATCTTATACGAAAAGAGCATAATCAATATTGACAATGATGAAAATCTAATGCAGTGATTTTGAGACTTTTCTATAGGGATAATTATCAAATTCGATATTATCACGAGTGCTGATAAATATCATTAGAGCATCAAAAACCTTAATTACCATAAAATCGATATAAATTTGCTGACTTGGGAAAATATCGCAATAATCCGTGAAATGGTATTTTCTGGTTATGTATCGCGATAATCAAATTTTGATACATCCAGATTTTGTAAGAAATAAGCCATACAATAAAAATCAGATTCCATAAACCTAAATACAGTTTGCCCGTAAGGTCATGGTGTACTTTTGGCCGGTCACAATAGAAAAGTTTTCTATGATTTTTCGGGCACACTTTAGTTATCTGAGTCCCCATAGTTGTTCACATTAACTGTTAAAAACGTTAGAGCGTATTGTCTGTTGAAAAAGTATCGAACCAAAAAGTTCTCGTGCGTAAAAAAATTGAATTATTACAACTTTATAGTTTCCCCAAAAGCTATTCGGACTTCACAGCGCATGCATGACAATTTTCCTACAATTACTCTTAAAAATTCTTTACAATTATTTCCTACCATTGCTCAAGGACAAGGCGTACTAATATTTGAAAAAGAGATTGCCAATAGATGTAGGCAGGGCCGGATTAACCTATAGGCACACTAGGCACGTGCCTAGGGCCTACGAAATTCAGGGGCCTACGAAAAACTTGGGAGAAAAAAATTTGTTGACAAAAATAATTTAGCTTTAAAAACAAGAAGTGTATTTTGCACAAAATTATGAAGATACAAATAAAAATATAATATTTTTCGGTAATAAATTGTTTTGCAGAATCTTATGATCTAATACAGTGGTTCCCAACCTGGGGGCGATCGCCCCAAAGGGGGCGATAGAGCTTATCAAGGGGGCGATAATCCATAGGGGGGCGATCAGGGGGCGACGAGTATTCAAAAGATAAAAATTTATAATAATATTAATAATAAAAGCTACTTGAGATTGAAATTGAAAATATATATGAAACCTATCGTTCTGGTGTAGACAAAGAATTATGATAGTTAAAAATTAAAAAGTATTCAAGTGCATGATCGTTTTCGTCATACGTTTTGGTATCGCAGGCGGAAATCTGATAAGTCACTCTGTTCCTCTGAGCAATAATACTGTTTCCATGCGCATTGATGAGATGGCCGCCGACGTTGAATCAAAACTCATCAAATTTCTGAAAGAAGGTAAATTTGCTTTGCAGATTGATTCATCAACTGTGATAGATAACAAAGCTGTTTTAGCTTACGTGAGATTCATAAATGAGAGTAAGGAGATTAACGAGGAAATGTTGTTTACAAGAACTTTGAACACAGATACAAAAGGATCGTCGATTTTTAAATTGGTCAAAGATTATTTTGAGGAAAAAGAAATTCCCCTCACAAATGTAAGTGCTTGTGCAACAGATGGTGCTCCAACCATGTCTGGTTGTCAT